AGCAGGAAGCGCTTTCACATAAGAGGGAGGTACTGATGGCAGAGGGGGAGGGACCTGAGGCAGAGGACCGCCTCCTTCAGGAAATTAATGAGGAGATCGAGGTGCTGAATGCCAATATAGACTACATCAATGACAGCCTGTCTGACTGCCAGGCTACCATTGTACAGATAGAGGAGACCAAGGTACAAGCAGTTCATTCACACATATACAGTATGTCTTTTCATATTTGTGTGAACACTCTTTGGCATACTGCATTCCCTAACCCCTAACCATCACAACTAAATACCTAACCCCAACTCCCCAAACCTAATTCTAACCTTAAACTATAAAGTGACATCTTTACCCTGAAACAGCCCTTTGAAGGTTGTAGGAACTGGCAAAAAATGTTGACTCAACAACAGAGTAGAACTAAAATGTGTCCACATAATCACAGAAAGACATTTACAGACACGCACTTGCTGTGTGATAAGTGAGAAGGCCTCTTGGAATGATTGTGTTTTCCTGAAGGATGAGCTGGACTCGGTGGACACCTCAGTGGTGATCAGCTCCTGCTCCCTGGCTGAAGCACGCCATCTGCTGGACCACTTCCTGAAGGCCTCCATAGACAAGGTGAGTTAACAAAAATTATCATTATTTGAAGTGTTTATGCTTTGAGTCTAATGAAAATCACGTTTTAATGTCATTATATTTTGCTACTTGCAAAAGCATAATTGTGTTATTTATATTTATTGATGTAATGTCCTGAACTCAGTGTGAAGTGCACTGAATAATGGTTGCAGTGCTACCAAGTGTTTTTCTCTGTACTGCAAGATATTGCTAGGGGTGTGTTTATTGGCACAAAAAAGAATTGTATATATTTATGAGGTTGTATCCTTTCCTGCTGTGTGTTTAACCTAGTGTCACTGTACTGTACTTTGTGTGCGTATAGAGCTTACAGGTGGCTCAGAAGGAGGCTCAGATCAGACTGCTGGAGGGTCAGCTGAGACAGACAGATGTGATTGGCTCATCCCACAATCACATGATCCTTGATGCCCTGCGAGAAAAGGCTGAGTACATCCCTGAACTCCAGGCTCTCATCCACAATGTGCAGCAGGGTGAGGAGTGGTTTTTCTTCATATAATATGTTGCTTGTAACTTTTTCTCCCCATCATCCCTCTTTGTACTGGACTACATTATTTTTAGAGGTATCTCTATTTTTATCCTCCACAGCTACATATATGAGATGGTCAGAATATTAGGAACACCTTTAACACATGCCACAATAATAAACATATAACTGAATTTATACATGTATAACACTTTCATCAAAAACTGAAACATTTTGAGCTTCATAAACACAGATGTTAAGGCGTATGTCTTGTATTGAGGTGCATACAGTTGAATAGGTGTACCTAATAAAGTGGCAGGTGAGTGTATAAATCATCAGCATTATGTGCAGGACTTTTTTTCATGAGCATACCCGTACTCAGTAGATATGAAGTATGCTGCACACATCTTCTCAGCATCATTCTCAGCATCAGTGAATGCGTGATCAGCCTTGTGGTCTGTTAAAGAACGCCGTGAACACACATTCATTCGAATTACTTGCACCTGGCTTCACCTAGCTGCACATCCTCAACCTTGCCTAGCCTTCATGAAACATAAAGACAGGATGCTCTCACTAGACTCAGTCAAGTCTTGGGTTTTTCTTATTTGTGAAATAGCCCTCTGGTTGTCATTGTTGTTTATTTGTGTGTCTGATGTTTTATTGTCTTATCTGAATGCCTTGGCCAGGTCTCCCTTGAAAAAGAGGCTGTTAACCTCAGTGGGATGTCCCTGGTTAAATAAAAGTAAAAAAATTGAAACCGTGACAGTGGAAGAGGTTGTAGCGCATACTGATGTGCCGAGCGGTGGTTTCTGGGGGTACTGTAGGCTTACAATTTGTGTGTTTTGTGTGCTTCCAGAAAACGGTTATGCCAGCACTGATGAGGAGCCTTCTGAGTTCAGCCAAGCCTCTGACAGCAGGTGCGAGTGCAGTCTGCTCACCCACACAACAAGTTTTACGATCATTTACTGCGCTCTGGTGTAGTTGGTTTTCATCTGACTTAGTGTTCATCCAGTACCAATTTCATCTGAAAAACATGAAGTCGTTCTCTTATGTCTCTCTATACACGTCTGTGACCCCGACTCTTTATTTCTGTCTTTCTGCAGCATATCTCAAATGAAAGAGTCCAACAGCCAAGATGACTTCAAGTTAAAGGTACAGCAGTGAACTCTAGTTCTGTTAGAGATCTACATTTCATTTCAGACACTGGCTCTAGATTATTCCTGTTTCTTCTGTCCAGTTTTGCTAAATCCAGATTTTAACACAGCTTTTATTTTTCTTCCCAAAACAGCTTTCTTAAAATGTTTTTCTATCAGTACTGAAAACATCAGATGCATTAAATGCTACATTTTGTTAGACCCCCTTGTAGCAAAGTAGCTGCTGGTTTGGTTTGAATCCATAAGGTGGCAGTAAAAGCAAACACTTAAAAATGACCCTACTTCCCTAAGCGTTGCTGATGGAGGACTCTCTGATGTGACACCAGTTCCTGTTATCTTCTTGTTCATGCTGTGTTTGCTATTCTTTATTGTGTTTCTCAGTTCTTTCTTCACTCTCCAGCTTTTTGTTGACCCCACAATGGCAGCTGTCTTATTTGGTTTACTGTTTTCATATTCTCTTTGCCCTTTTCCCTGCTGGATGATGTTGTCAGTCTGTATCTTAATTTCCTCTTGTGCCCTAATTAAATCCAGCTTTTATCTTTATTTTATGCCCCAGTTTTTCATATCCTCTTTCATGTCCTCCTCCTTGCTCATTTCGTTCTTCGCTTCTGTGCTCCTCTGTAACACAAATGGTGCGCTATTTTCACCCAGATGGAGCCTCGTCTGTCGGCTCAGATGAAGGCGGTGTCGGCAGAGTATTTGGGCCCCGTCATTGATCCCTCTTCAGGCGGAAAACCGCAGCACATCACCAAGTCTTTGGCATCGCTGACTGACATCCAGGAGGATGGCCTGAGTCTGGTGACAGGCAGTCTGGGGCTCAGCCTGGCCCTACGAGACACGTACCACAGGGACCGGGGATCCCGCACCATCAGTCTGCCCATCAGGGGACACACATTGTACGTCATGAAGATTTGAACAAGTGTAGTGGAGGACCAGACATATGTATATATAAAATAATCAGTTTGTCAAATTAGTTACTGTGCAAATCTTAGGAATTACTTAGTAAATTAATTAACTAGATCATCTTACCTCAAATCCCCATGTTCATAAACATTTGTTCTGCTGACGTGTCCTTGACTAAGATCAGGAGCAGAGTCACTAAACATGAATGGCATGGAACCTAAACACAAATTCAGTTACTGAAATAACCTGAGGATAACTGCATAAACACCATGGAGAATATCACAAATATATCAACAAGAGATGAGAATATTCTTTTTAGTTGTATTCACTGATACCCATGACAGGGTTTTTAAAAATACTTGAGTATGTTTTCCTACTTCACATTTCCAAGCTAAAAGCCACTGAAAATCTGCCAGAGCCCTGACATTTTATAGGTTATAAAACTGCTTCAGGCTGGGAAAAGGAGAAGTCAGTGAAATTTGCATAAGTGCTTAGGGATGGAAAGCCTGTGTGATTTGATATTTAAAGAAATGAGTTTGCCAGTTTCTGTAATCTGCTAGAAATGGTGTTAAGTTGCATAAACTGTTGTTGTTTATAGAGTCCAGTTTACATAGGTGTAAATAATTCCTATGTGCTTATCACCTGTGCACTCCCTTGAATGTTTGTTTAGTTTGCCTGTGTGTTTGCGTGTGTCAGTCCCAGGCAGTCCCGGGGTTATGACACCTCCCCTATAACAAGAAGGAAATCTTACGACCGTGCATACAGGTACATGTAATGTTTAATTCGCAGTAATATATAATTTGCTTTCAGTGTTTTCCAGTGCTTTCTTTCTTAACTCTTCATGCCCGTCCTCAACTCTAACGCCCCTTACCCTCTCGCCCCCTTATCAGGCCCACTGACGGCTATACTCCCCCCTCCTCCCCTCCTCTGAGGACCAGGAACGACCGCAACGTCTTCTCAAGGCTCACCAGCAACCAAGCCCAAGCTTCTGCTCTGGACAAGTGAGTACTCTCCTGCACAGATACTTACAGAATAAAACAAAACTGAGTACACTCCTGTGCAACATCACTAAAATGTGAACAAACAGGTTAGATGACAATGAAAATGCGAGTGACAAAGTACAACCTCAGTGCAACAGAAGTCAGTTTACCTGCAACAATGATTGCACCTGAGATTTCCCATTTAATTACAAAGCCTGGGTTGTGTCTAATGTACACAAAATGGCAAGATTTAACTTTCCCAAAGAGCATTAAAAGAGGCCTGATGAATCCTGGCAGCGCCTTCTTTGGTCAGATGAAGCCAACATGAATTTGTGTGGATCAGATGGCGTCCAGCATGTTTGCTGTGTACCTGACTGGGACAGCCACAGTGATTGCGTGGTGCTGACTGTGAAAATGGAGGTGGGGTGTGCTGAACGAGGACTGCATGAGTGTAAACGTGTCAGGGAGATGACATTTCTATAAACCCAAATACTGAATGAGAAGACTGATTCCCAGTCTCCAGACTGTTTGAGGGAGAGGATGACAGTGATCCCAAACACACTGCAAAAATCACACACATTACTTTTTAAAGAAAATACTGTATGAGTACTACGAACTGGTCGAGTACTGTATGTCCCCTGACTTGAATCCAATAGAACACCTATTTTAAAGTGGAAGGTTGGGAAGCAAAACTCCTGCAGAGAGCAAACGAATAGGCTGATCTGTGAAGAATGGCAGAACATCTCCACAGATTTAGCCATAGACTGGTATCATCTATGGCCAGGAAGGTCGACTCTGTCATCAAAAATAAAGCTGGATTTAAAAAAAAAGTTATCTCACTACTAACTGACATTTCATTATAATTTGATTAAATGAATTTAATCAAAACATTAGTTTTTTTTCTTGTTTGTTTTGTTTTTAAAACTTGATTAGATTCAATCTTCTTGAGCTAAAAACAAAGAAAACTGTGTTAAAAGGACAAAATTTGCAATTAGTGACTAAGGTTGTGCTCAGTTTTGTTCACACACACCCTGCCTTTATCCTCTTTTGTCAGTCAGTTCAGTCAGTCAGTCCTTCTCTTCCAATGAAAGCGTTTTGAGAAGAACCTGCTTTTGTCTGTGGTAGACTTGAGCTTCTTAAGAGTGTGCTACCATCTCCAGAGGATCCCAACCTTAGGCAAAAAGCTGTATTTAGCAACACTAACAACAAGGTGTAATTGCACTGCGTTTCCAGTCTATTAATAGGAGTTACCAGGAAACAAATGCAAATTGTCAGGGTGGCTGCTCAGATAGTAAACACACTGTCAACACACTGACGTACATCATCTGCAGAAGACAGAAAGACAAATACAATTTAATATAATCCAATAAAAAAACAGACCTGCAATAATTCCTCCACATGATGCTTAGTTTATCTTTTTTTCGCGGGGGCAGTATGTCCGAGAGAATTTGATTCAAACTTATGGTAATTTAAGGCTGTGTTTTAAGTTGTGTTGTAATGTTAAACTGGCCTGTTTTTAATGTTATTCTTTATCTATTAAGGTTATACAGTGTTATGAACTCCTCTCGCTGTGTAAGTGTGTAACCCAGCCACGTGGATGGAGACACACAAAGTAGATACGAGACGCATGTTAATGTCACCTTCGACGGTGCAGAGTCGGGAGCAAACAATCAGCCTTTTCCCTTCCACCTCACGATCAATTCCTGCTTACTGCTCTGATAAATGTCAGCAGCTAATTTCAGTCCGCAGCTGGCTTTGCTCGAAAGTTGTTTGTTTTGTAATCTTTATTAATCCAGAACGTTCTTCAGCTTTATTGACCCTTAATTGTTAGCGAGGTATGGTTTGTGAAACGAGTTAGGGTATTGCGCTTGTGTGTTTGCTGTTTGTGTGAATATTTGTATGTGCCAGAGCCTGTGGGATCTCATTTGCTGGGGCAGTAAATGAGTTGGCTCTGGTCATCTTTTTATGCAGCTGTTGTCGTTGGTAGCTATTTTGCATTGACTCAGGGCGACACTGTGAGCTGCTTTTA